GAGGAACAGAGACGAGTCTGGAGTGACTCCTGGGTTTAAGGCCTAGGCGGTGACTGGACAGTGATTATATAGACCAGCCGAAACTCTTTAGTTCACCTTTGATACACAAGACACAGAACAGGGTCTACGTAGCAGTGACTAATGATTGTGATGCTAAGGAAGTGGCCCCTTTACCTTGGTGGCATTCCTCTTGCTGTTCCTGGAGACTCGGTACCAATACTGTTGGATCTGCCAGATCAGAAAGAGACAGAAGACAAGTAGATTACCACAGCACCGGGGATCCCTGCAACTTCGATCCTGGGGCAATAGGCCCCTTACTGGTTCCCACTCAGGGCCCTGGAATGGACCCACCACGGCACAGGCTCCCAGAAGTGGTAGCAACATGGCAAAGCTTAGATCAGGTAGATGGTGTTTGGGGGAGTGGGAAGGAAACACTGGTGTAGCTGACTCAGTCAGTTTGGGGTGGGGTACTCCTTACTTCATAGTCCCCTGTCACTGAGGCCACCTCACAAAGGAGCCTGCTGCTGATGCACTTTCATTTCTAGCTAATAGATATGGCTAGCAGGCCCTGCCTGGGTAGAGGAAACCTCTCCTGGGCAGACTAGCCACAGACAAGAACTGGTGTGTTATGCCTCCGTGCGGTCAAATGGCTAAATAGCAGGCTGGGTATAAGTCAGACCTGCTCAGCTTTCCTGACCTTGGTTCCAGAGCCATCACCAAAGATAGTGAGGGAAGTCTCATCTATAACTGGGGTCCATAAACCTGTGCCCAGCCAGGCAGTGGTGGTGCACCCCTTTAATCCTAACGCTTGGGAGACAGAGACAGGAGGATCTCTGTGAGTTCTAGGACAGCCTGGTCTACACAGAGAGTTCCAGGACAGGCTCCAAAAGCTACAGAGTAACCCTGTCACCGGCAAGGTAGTGGCTGATAGATTAGGGTGATCCCTTGGCCCCTCATGAAAACAATGACTAGGCAGAGAACTTTTAATTAAGGAGCATTTGGACAAAGGAATAGATTTTAATGTTCTACAGCATAGCACGATAACTATGTATGATTGGTAAGGACTCATTGAATTTTTTGTTTCTTGGTTTTGAGACAGACCTTGCTAAATAGTTCAGGCTGTCCTCAAATTCACACTGATCTTCCTTCCTCAGACTGAGTGATGGGAATACAGGAATTCATTACCACATATCTAATTAAAGATTTTTTTTTCTTTGAGATAGGGTATCACTACTTAGCTCTAGCTGGTCTAGAACTCACTACTCAAACCAGGCTGACTCTGAACTCAGAGATTTGCCTGCCTCTGGGGTGTTGGAATTAAAGGTGTGCACCACCACACCTAGCCTGAATAAGTAAAAGGACCCTAGGAGCAAAACTACCTAGGTCTGGCTCCATCATATCACATGAGGTACTGAAAGAACTGTATCTCGCTGGAGAGATGGCCCAGAGGTTAAGAGCACTGTCTGCTCTTCCAGAGGTCCTGAGTTCAGTTCCTGGCAACCACATGGTGGCTCACAACCACGGGAATAAAATCTGGTGCCCTCTGCTGGCGTGCAGGGCACATGCAGGCAGAAGACTGTATACTTCATAAAATCTTTAAAGAAAAAGAACTGTACCTCCAAATCATTCACTGTCCTCTCCTCCCTTCTCTCTCCTACACTTGCTTTTCTGAAGTTTCTGGCTTGGAAATCATTGTGTAACCCAGGCTGACCTCAAACTCACAACAATCCTCCTGTCTCAGCTTCCTAAATGCTGGGATTACAGGCACAAGTCACAAGGCCTTTGTTTTGTTAAGTAAAATAAATTCCATTTCTAGAGTTAAAGAATACAATAAGCCTTTCTGCTCTGCTTTGTGAAGTCTTTACTTCTCTGAAACAGAGGTAACCTTGGAGGAGGAGGAGTTTAGGCAACAATACGGATGATGAAGTCACAGAACTGTCTACAGAAACGCTGGCCCTGAGAAAAGAGAACTTAGGGGAGAAAGAAGGCTGCAGGAGAGTGTGCTGGCCATCTCCACGTGTGCTCTGGTTTGAGTGAAGAGACTGTCTTCCTGCTTGACATGAATGATACAGTGATGTAACCTGCCCAATCAGAAAAATCCATGTTCCTGGTAGCAAGTAACACATAGCAAACTTAATTTCTTTGAACCCTCTCCAAAAGTTTAAAAATAAATCTAAATCTTATAGCAAGGTTTTTCTAATGCCATCGATTTTAGACAAGGTGTAGTCCTGGCTGGCCTGGAACTCACTATGTAGAACAAACTGGCCCCGAACAGACATCCACCTGCCTCTGCCTCCCAAGTGCTGGAATTAAGAACACAAGCCACAGTTCTGTTCTCTCTTGTTGGAACAAGCAGTAGCATTAGAGGTATGTTCTTAGTGCTCTTTGGATGGAGAACACTGACAATACAATGAGATTAGGACTATTTGTTTTCAAGCTAGCTCCCCTTGGGTAAGTCCTACCAGACTCTTTGTCCAAAAT